ACCAGCCCAGGTCATGGGGCCAGGGCTAGATGAGCTGTGAGCACAGGCGAAGGTTACCTTGAATGAGCTGCCTCCACAGGGTTCTCAAGGCTGGACTGATGGCCTCATCAGGGTAGAACACTGGTGCTCTGTACAGGGTGTTGTCAACCACAGGTATTAGGGCTTGCTCTTAACATCCACCAAAGTCCTGAACTCATAGGCTACAGATTGGACTTCCAGGGCTTCTTTCCTAAAAAGACACATAATGACACAGAATTCAGAGATCCTTTTAAGTGAATTTGTACATTTTCAGCAACACAGCATCTACATGCCTGTGGACCTAGTCACCCACGTGTGCAAGGTTATCAGGTACTCTACAGGTATTGCTGGGTTCCTCGTGAATGCTCAGACCCCACGCTGGAACCAGGTTCCAGGGGAAGGGGAAAAATGGGCGTGTGCCAGCCCTGTTGCCTGAGCACCCACTGTGCCAGGCCTGCTCTGGCTGCCAAGACACAGCAGCTACAATACCTGCCCCTCCAAGGTTTCAGAATATTTGAAGGTTAACTCAATGGCTGATTGTGAGCAGCCCCTTAGTGCTTCAGGAAAAGTCGGGGCGTTGACTGTCTTGACAGCCTCTTGGGGTACCTGAGCCTCATCCAGCAACTCTGAGGGGCAGCTGGGCAGAAAGTCGTGTCCTGTCCTAAGCCTCTCACTTGCATGAGGCCACATTTGGAAGAGGTGTCACTTCTCAGTGAGACCACAAGCAGTTTTGTGGGAGTATGACAGCAACACCCAGCCCCTTCCCCAGTATGCAAGCTTAGTGTACAGTGCCCACTCATGATAGGCCTTTGTGAGCGTGGCCACAGGGTCTGGATGGAGGCCCTGTGGCCTCTCCACCATCCCTACCTAGCCAGTGTGGCACTAGGAGGGGATTCCTGCTTCTCTGGTTCTAGGGAGGTCTGGGGAGCCTCATGTCCTCTTCTGCGTCCATAGTATCATAAGAGGTGGGGCTTCCAGTTTGCCCTTTAGTTGTTGGGTTACCCTGGGAACATCCCAGGCCCTCACTGGGAGCTGGAATACCCAGGCCTTCTGGAGGCAGGCCCCAAGTAGGGCTCTGGGGCCCTGGCTGCTGTTCTGTGACATCCTGCAGTCCCACCTTGGGGTGGGGGAACCTGTCTGTCAAAAAGGCAATGACACTGGGGGCTTACCCGCACAGGACTGCCATGCTGGCACTGTGCGGGAAGGCAGAGTCAGAGGCACTCTCCTTGGACGAGTTTGCTGGAGTGAGGGTGAGGGGAGCTGGTTTCCGGGGGCAGGGACTCTACTCAGGCCTGTTCTGCCCTGAGCTCCTTAACACCAGCATGGACAGTAGTGGGCAGGGCGTAGAGAGGTGTCCCCAGGCATGCACACTGTGAGAGCACTGACCATACCTAGGGACCTTCTGAGGCACAGAAGGTTTGACGTGCATCTTGAAGTATAAGTTGGAGCTCACAAGGGGGTCTTGAGAGTGTGGTGGAGGGAAAAGTGGTGAAGGTAGGAGCCTATGGCAGGAGGAGCCCAAAGGTATAGAGGCTGGTGGGGCTGAGAGGGGTGGGAAGTGTGAACGGGCTCCAGTGGGAGGAATGTCCTGGAGCCCAGGTGGGGGTTTGCAAAAGGAGCAGGTGAGGCTGATGTTGATTTATCAACTCCTCGTCCCATGTTTAACCACAACTAGCAGCCACCTGTTTCTGGACCCAGCTGTTGTGCTGGAGAGACGCAGAGCCTGTCTGCCTCTCTGCTGCTGGCTCTGAGGAGGAATTTGTTTTCCTGAGGCCTTATTGAGTCCATGGTCATCTGCAACTTCCCTATTGTGTGCAGGAATCTCAGGGATCTTGTTAAAATGCAGGCTTTGATCGAGCAGGTCTAGGACAGCAAGATGCTATATTTCTACAAGCTCCCTGGAGAAGCTGCCCCAGCTCTCCTGAGCTGCGGTGGGTAGTGGTCCTGTACCCCCAGTGGATCCTAAGGACAGAACCACCTTTGATCCAGGGCTTGATCCTCACTGCCTGGCACTGCGCCTACTTCTTAGGTGAGTGTTCAGCAAATAAGAGTTGAACGAATGAGAGAATGAACAAACGAGCAAGCGAGCGAATGAGTATAGATGAAGAACTCCTTCCCCAACATTAGGCAGGCTCATTCAGAGAACAACAAAGGTCAGGTCTGCTGAGAACAGTTTCTATGTTCCCTCGATGAGACTGCTTTCCCTGGCATGAGCCAGGGGGGCACTAAATACTAACTTTACACTGACCACTGGCTGGTGAAAGCTGGGACAGTACCCTGGCATTGTGGATGCACGATTCTGTTGTACATTAAGTTTATAATCCCAGTCTTCCCTCCAGAAAACTTGAGGGAAGTTCCTGGCAGGTTAACAGCTTTTGTGTTTGTTTAGCCAGGGACCTGCCCAAGGGGAGGAGGTGGTGAGACCATTTTCACAGATGACACCCTGACCTGCTTCCAGGGATATTCATAGGTTGCATAAAATCTGATCATAATATTTTACATAAGGGTTCCCAAGATGGGCACGGTGGGCTTACAGGATTTGTCCTGAAATCATGCTTCCAAATAAACTTAGTGCCCAGGTGGCTGCTGTGAACTGAAGCAGAACACCTGGCCATGCCACCGTCCCCCTACCATGTTGGGCTAGATTTCATCTGCTTTTATTCTCCTGGCCTAAGTGGTTCTGTAATTTAAAACAATTTTTAAAAAGAGAATGCCCATGTTAATGTTTATCCTGTATCAAAGAGGTGTTCTTTTTCCTGAATTAAAAGAACTCACTGGGAAAGAACTGACAGACTTGAAGCATCCTTGCTTTAAAGATGGAGCTTAGGAAAGTTTTTTATGTTGGCCCTCTGTGTTTGGAAGGGGTGACCCAGTCTCTGTAACGTAGCATAGTCTCCGTGGGCGTGCACCACACAGGAAGTGCCTGCCAGCCTGGCAGCTCCAGGGTGAACTGGGCGCCTCCATTTTCTGACAACACCTGAACCCTACCTCACTTCTCAAAATGAAGGCTGCTTGTCACAAACTGGTTAGAACTGGCTGTTGCCATGGTTTTCACCGTTCGAAGGCACAGTTAAAGGGTCACATGACCAAGGAGGGAAATGCCTTTGTCACATGACTTTTTGGTGGCCTGATTAGCATACAGGAAGTACACTCCCTGCTGGGATGCTGAGTGATCTTTGATGGGAGGTGATGTCATCTCTTGGACGAGTTATTGATTATAGTGTCAGTCCAAGACAGGACCTGGGAATGCTGTGGTCAGAGTGGCCATCTCAGGGAGCCTCAACTTCCAGATGGTCTCAGTCCCTCACTCTGCCCTTTTCCCTCAGGCAAATTTCAATTTTTAGATAATCTCACCCTCCTAAAACATCCTTGGTGAGATGGTAAAAAGTGGTAAATCTCTGTAGATCACCCTTGTCTCAGCACTCACTAGCATAGGAAGCTCCTGCAGTCTGCTGTAGATGTGGTTCTGCCTGGGCTGCTGCTCTGCCTGCGTGCAGCCGCCGGGAAGCCCACCTGGGTGGGGACCCAGTGCCACAGCTCCTGTGCTGGGGCCTTGCGTCCGCTTGATGTCTGTGTGCATGTCCAGAAAACCTGGAATTGGAGTCTGAGATCATCTTGGAAGTTGATCTTGGGCTGAATGGGCAGCCAACAGAGAGACAAAGACACTTGAAAGAGTGGTGGTTCATGAATTGATTGGTTTTTGGTTTGCTGAGGCCAGAGTAAGACATTCTGGGTTACTATATAAATAGCCAGTTTCTGGACTTGAGAATGTGGGTTTATAATCCCAACGAGGGGTTGTATATCTTTAAATGGGTGCCCTTTTTGTCCCCTCCCCTGGTTTCTTGTGAGGCCAGCCGGCAGCTGTACTGGTTAAATGGCTGGGAGTGTTGAGGTGCAACTACCATGCAGCTCTGGGAGGTGGGATTAAGACTGGTCTGGATGGGGTGTGGGGCAGAGATCCAGGGTCCTGGGAGAGTCAGTGAATAGCTCAGTGTCTGGTCCTCTGTGAATCTGCAGCTCACTTCAGGAACAGCAGAGGTGGTTTAGTGTGCTGTTAAGCACCAGTTTTCTATCTGTAACTCTGCCCTTGCTTAGCTGGAATGCAGTGAAAGGAGTGGGACAACTTTGAGCTGTTGGTTAACTTCATCGAGTTTGTTCTGTGGACAACAGTGCCACCTAGTGGACGCGCTTGGTTCTCGGTTAGTTCTGCTGCTGACGGAAAGAAGAATCAATTCCTTCAGTACAAGTGCTGATTGAGGCCAGATCTTAAGGGAAGGTTTACATTGTGCCCTCAGCAAATGGAGCCGCTTGGTTGGGGGCGAAGAGCTGTCTCTTGATGCTGTGTGTGGGGTCACTGACACCATAGCAGAGGTTCAGATGTGCATCTATGTGTTAGGGTATGTGGGAGTGGGCAGGGTTGTGGTAAGAGGGTAAGAGAGTAATGGGCAGGGGTGGGAGTATCCAGATATGCAAGATAATATGTACTTCGTGTTCTAGTCTGTTTCAAAACATGCAGCCTCTACTGCCACATGTGACCCAGGAAGGACTGTCCAGCAGGCCGCCTTAGCTAGGATCCAGGGTCAAGCTTTTGTAATTCAACACCTAGCCACATTTTAGAGAAAGGAGTGATGGTGTTTTCTGAAATGCCCATGTCATCCTCCAACATATAAGTATCCTCATCCCTGGGGACACGGAGGCGGGTGCCAAGTACAGCTTCAACTGGGAGGGGCCCAGCCATACACCGGTGGGTTTGGGTACTGCGTGGTAAGTACAGTGAGAGAAGACAGCCTGGGAGGGTGGTAGGGGAGCCGTCAGGGAGGTTGCAAGGAGAGAGGTTGCCGCCAGTGGGGCAGTGTGCTTGCCTCCCCCTTGCTGTCTGCGTTTGGTTCTGGGTGTCTGGCTGTGTGGGTGTGGGGCTCTGGGGAACAGTGTCCAGCACAGTCAGGGTGCTCTGGTAACAACCCGCTGTCCCTGCTCCACAGTGACATGAAGTCTGAGAAGAGAGCCCCCTCGCCTGATGTGATTGTGCTCTCTGACAATGAGCAGCCCATGAGCCCGCGGGTGAATGGGCTTCCAAAGGAGGCCCTGCAGGAGACCAGCACTGAGTCCCTCATGGTGAGCCTTGTCCCTGTGCTAGGGACCACCCCATCCATTGGCATCCCCGAGTGCAGCTGGTGACAGTGGGGCCTGTGAGCCTGGCTGCTGGCCCTCCTTCTCAACACTGTTATCTTGCACTTGCAGAAAAGTAGTCCTGAAGAACGAGAAAGAATGATTAAGCAGCTGAAAGAAGAATTACGGTTAGAAGAAGCAAAACTTGTTTTATTGAAAAAGTTGCGGCAGAGTCAAATACAAAAGGAAACCACCGCCCAGAAGGTTTGTGCAAGTCTATACCTTCCTCAAGGGTCAGTGGGAGCCGTTCAGAGCTGGGGACAGAGAGGCTGGTCGTGGAGAGACAGGTTTCCTCAGGGGCATGAGTGCCGTGGTCTTAATAGAAACTTACAGACTCAAGTTCCCATTTTGGATTTAGCTGAAAGGATGTCAGAGTGAGAGGATATTAAAGTACTGCTGGCCTAGAATGTTCCAGATCTGAGTACATAAACTCACTTCCTGTGAAAACATCACGGCAGTAGAAAGCAGATAGATGTGTGAAGCTGCTGGAAGCACACTTCTAGGTTCAGAGCTCTGTCCCAAGTTTGTTTCCAGAAAGGCCTCCTGCCCTGTGGATGGCTGTGTTGGTTGGCACAGGCTGCTCTAGGATTGTGGATGGAGGCCCTGTCCTGGGGCACCTGCTGTCTCCCCTGGTGCCAGAGGCTCTTTGTGGTGCTGCTCTGAGCACAGTTCACCATGTAGGGCAAGTTCATGTTAGTTTTGTTGGATTTCTGTGAAGGTTCCTGGTTAATTATGCAGCTACTCTTATGATAAGCACTGTCATTAAACCAGAAAAGTGAGTGCATGTCGGGCAAGACGGCTGACAGAGTGTGTAGAACGTGTATCCCCTAAGAAGGTGGGGTAGGAGAAGGATGCTCATTGGTCTAACTGGGGGTTTTTTTTGAGCTCCCACCCCACCCAATCAGCAAATGGATATGGCCTGATGTTTGTTGATCTTTAGGTGGACAGATTCTGCCTATTATTTGTTTCCTTGTCAGTTGTTGAAGACATGGTATAGTGACCCAATTTTGTCACTGCCCCTTCCCTTGTGAAATATGTTACTTTAAGAACCCCAAGGTTGGAATTAACCCCAAGGCTTTCTCTTGCCAGCCCTTCCTGCCCGCCCTGGAGGGCAAAGCCAGCACCTGAACCACAGAGTATGACAGGAGTCCCCAGGGAGAGAGGGGTGCTAGAACAGCTCTCCTTTGCCCATTTTGAACATGTCAGTTTCCGTCACAGATAGATAGGAGTCACTTACCAGACTGCAAGTAGAACCTTTGTGAGCCTGAACCTCTGGAAGAGGAAGAAAACTAATCCTCCTCCATCAGGATTATGGGGGTGGGGCAGGACTGGTAACTGTCTCATCTCCCAAGTGTCCTGTCTCTTGCAGCCCGCAGGCTCCGCTGGGAGCACTGTGACCACCCCTCCCCCGCTTGTGCGGGGCACCCAGAACATTCCTTCCGGCAAGCCATCACTTCAGGTCAGTGTTCCCTCCTCATCAGACTCCTGAGCAGTCCTGCAAAAGGCTGCCTATTCCTTCTGATTAGACTGAGTGAGGTTTTCCTGCCGGTGGCCCCAAAATAAATCCTGTTCACAGTCCGAAACAACGCCACCATTGACATAAACAAATCACACCAATGCATAGGAGGCCCTTCCCATGATTCACCCCTGTTGAGACTGGAGAAAGGACTAAGGTCCACCTAGACAGACTGGGCCCCCTCCATTCTGAGTCTCCCAAAGGCAGTAGGGCCTTGTCCTAGGGAGGCTTCCAGCCTTTCTTGCTCAGAGGGCTGCCACAGGACTGAGCTCTGGACAGGGCCCCTGTTCTCCTCAAACAGACCCCAGCTCACACCAGCAGGTGGCAGTGCCAACCCTGACTGGCTGGACTCTTGGCTGCAGTAGGGCCTGTGTCTTCACTCAGCCCAGGTTTATAAGTCTGTTCGTGGAGTCTGTGTTTCTTGTCTGTTTTTTCTATTAACCCCACTCTGTTTTTATTAACAAGTGTGTGGTTTTTCAAAAATAGCAAAACCTGTTTGTTTGTTTGTTTGTTTGTTTGTTTTAAAAAAGCTATGTAAGATCTGGGGGTTGGTATCGTTGACAGACCTCTTCAACTCGAATGCCTGGTAGTGTCATCCCACCACCCCTGGTCCGTGGTGGGCAGCAGGTGTCTTCGAAGCTAGGACCGCAGGCGAGCTCACAGGTCGTCATGCCCCCGCTCGTCAGGGGGGCCCAGGTGAGCAGGGTGCACCCTTGGGACAGCAGTATGGCCAGGCAGCCCCAAGCAACTGTCCACCTTGCAAGAATGACCATTCCCAGTCCTCAGGCTGGAATCCCATCCCTTTTCTGTACCTCTCCCTCTATTGCCCCTCATTGTCTTGTCGCCACCCCACCCCACAGCAAATCCACAACATCAGACAACATTCCAGCACGGGGCCACCGCCGCTCCTCCTGGCCCCTCGGGCATCTGTGCCCAATGTGCAAATTCAGGGGCAGAGGATCATCCAGCAGGGCCTTATCCGTGTCGCCAACGTCCCCAACACCAGTCTGCTCGTCAACATCCCACAGGTGAGGGCCGTGCTGTGCCAACATGGGAAGTGTGCCATGCAGCTACCATCGAAAGGGTCCGCGGTTCTGGGGCGCAGTGGGGTGGTGCGATGTGACCTGCCTGCTCCCTCAGAGCCAGGTGAGGCCTTGGACACTCCTTGTGGTTTGTACTTGAGCTCCTTGGGGCTTGTCAGCCATGAAGGTCACAGGCAAGAGTCCTGTGTTCAGATTTGCCACATGGCAGAGGTGGAGAGTTGCTGAGGATGAGGGGTGCAGACCTGAGCTGAGACATGGGGAGTCTGAGCAGTTGCAGGAGGCAGGTTTGCGGGGATAGAAGAGCACAGGTAAGGTGTCTGATAGGCCTGGAGATGGCCGGGGGCACCAGGGCCTCCCCTGCCCTTCCCCTGCAGGCACAAGCACGTGAGAAGCGTGTGTCTGAAGATGTCCTCACAGCACCAGTACATGAGTCCCTTCAACTTTGGGCACAGCCTCCGAGATGGACAGGGGAGGCGGGGTGGTCTGTCCCCACCCAATAGAACTCAGAAGATAGGACTGGGGGCCAGCAGGATGGAAGCAAAGGTTCATTGAGATAAAATTACTGGGTCAGCTTCTCTGCCTCTGTTGGCCTGGTGTAGCCTTGCCTGCCTCCTTTAGGTCAGGGTCAAGTGCAGTCCTGCCACTGTATAGGGATGTCCTGGCAGAGCAAAAGTTGGACCTGTGCAGCAGTTCATTTACCCCATAAACCTTGATCAGACCCCTCCGGTGTGCCAGACCGTGTTCACAGCTCAGCCTGCCAAGAGGGTGGAAAGCAGACCAGCAGCAGTGGAGCCAGGGGGGTTCTGCTCCCAGTGAGGTGGGGAACTCAAGAGGGGATCAGGGAGAACTGGCTGGTCAGTCAGTGGAGGCTTGGCCAGGCCAAGGTGCCCTGATGGTGTCTTCTGTGTTGGGGAGCCCCTTTGGCTCTGAGACCCTCTAGGGGAGTAGGGATCCTGGGAGAGCATCCTGGGTTTCCTGAGCCCTGTGATACAGTGGAGGCAAGTTATCTGGTGTGTGCATTTTCCTGGGGATGATATAGGCAGCTTTCTTACGATTTCTCCAACCATGCAATGTTAACGGTTCCCCAACCATGCAATGTTAAGGACACTGATATGGTTAGCTCCAAGTTTTGGGGAGAGCACTTGACAGTGTTGGGGGTAAGTGGGCTGGAGTAAGGTGATGATGGAGTGTTGGCCACTGGGGTTCAGACAAAGACCATAAAAGTAGTATAGGAATAGCAAGGGGTAAGGGGCAAGTGCAGGAGCTGTCCTCTCCTTCAACCGTGATGAGGACATGTGACTAAACCATTAGCGTCTCCAGATAAGCACACACAAAGATGTTCACAAGGGAAATGCCACAGATGCCACTTGAGCCATGATTGCACCTCTGCGAGGATGGAGGCCACCAGACCTGTGCTTTGGGAGGATCAGACCATAGAGATAGGACAGTGGCAATGTTATCTGGGTTAGTGCTTGACAAGGTTTTGGCCTGGTTATGGTGATAGCTTGCTTCATGGGTGTCCTCCTGGCAAAATGCAGCAAATGACAGATTTTAAATGTGTATAGTGTATTCGATATCTGCTACGCCTCAAGAGCTGTGTGTACAATATTGGTCATCTCATAGAGTGAAGATTCTAATGCTGCACTGACAGGCAGCTTGGGATGTCTCTCTAGGACTCATTAGTTAGTGCAGCTCATGTTTCTGACCTGGGTTGTGAGTGCAGTGGTAGGGCCTGCCTCAGAGAGGGGCACTCCCAGCACCCTGACCTGATTGTTTCTTCCCAAAAGCCCTCCCCAGCCTCACTGAAAGGAACGACAGCCACCTCTGCTCAGGGCAACTCCACCCCCACCAGTGTGACCTCTGTGGTCACATCTGGTGATTCTCCAGCCAGCCGGCAGGCAGCTGCCAAGCTCGCCCTGCGCAAACAGCTGGAGAAGACGCTGCTTGAAATCCCCCCGCCCAAGCCCCCCGCCCCAGAGATGAACTTCTTGCCCAGCGCCGCCAACAACGAATTCATCTACCTGGTTGGCCTGGAGGAAGTGGTACAGAACCTGCTGGAGACACAAGGTGAGTGGGCCCTGGGCTAGGGCCATTACCGTCTCTTGCCATTAAAGTTTCTGTTACACAGGTTTTTTAACCGTACAGCACATGTCTGTGCACCTGGGGTGTTCCCAGAGCTGTCTTAAAGGTTGGATATTATGAATGATGTTTCGTCACCAGTTCTGTTGCTATGAAGTTTGATAGCTTCTTAAACACATTGTAGGCACCTTTCCTGTTAGTGCCTCCCGAGAGCCAGGCCCTGGTGAGGCCCAAGGTCCCCACAGGCATGGTCCTGGGACAGGCAGCAGCCCTGTGATGTTGGTGTGCCGTGAGGCAGGTGGGCAGTGAGGAGGAATGCCTGCGGGAGACTGACATGCCAGGTTTTGTTTCCAGACAGGAAATCATCACAGAGGTGGTACCTTGAGTATTCAGAGCCTACAAGATGGGAGAGGGATACCTACACCTGAACCAGACTCATTAAATCACCCTTCTTGGAAGCAGTTTGGGAAGTGCACTTGCATGTCAGGAGGTTTTAGGAATAAAAGGGCATAAACAGGATGATGATAAAAAATACTAGAAATGGAGGTGGAGGCCATGTTGGCTCTTGGGGAGCCGCCTCCAGACACTGAACTGGGGACTGCCCTGATATGCATGTGGTGGTGACATTAATTGAGCAGCAAGCCTGAACCCTCTTCCTGTGTGATCTTGTTAGCTGCTCGGGGCTGAGGAGAAGGTATAGCCAATTCACTGGCCCAGAGGAATGGGGGAGGGCCTGACAGGCTCTGGCACCTGAATGTGTCTGACTCCCTTTGGTAGCTTCTGTATGATGAGGTCATATTATTGGCAAAAGAGCTATTACAAGGCCAGTAAAGGAAGGATGGGCAGGAGGCTGAGTCAGGACAAGGTGCTTGCCCATCCTGCTCTGTGGGTGGGCAAGGTGATTGGGAGGAGCCAGGCTGACAGCATGAATGTTCTTGAGAATTTGTACCAAAAATGCTTAACCCACAGTGTTTCCAAAGCTTTGGCCGGAAAAGCTTCCCGTAGGCCAGCCCAGTGTCTCCCACAATTGGCATTGACTTTAGTTTTCTGATACCCGCTGGGCCACGTGGCTCTGGACACTTCTCCTGCTCTGTCCTGCATCCTGGGTGGTGGGAGTTCTGACTGGTGTCTTATTTCTTTGACGTTCTCCCACCCGTCTCCCCTATAGCGGGCAGGATGTCAGCTGCTGTCGTGCTGTCCCGGGAGCCCTACATGTGTGCACAGTGCAAGACGGACTTCACGTGCCGCTGGCGGGAGGAGAAGGGTGGTGCCATCATGTGTGAAAACTGCATGGCGTCCAACCAGAAGAAGGCGCTCAAGGTGGAGCACACGAGCAGGCTGAAGGCTGCCTTTGTGAAGGCACTGCAGCAGGAGCAGGAGATCGAGCAGCGCCTTCTGCAGCAGGGCCCCGCTCCTGCGCAGGCCAAAGCTGAGCCCACCACCGCCCCGCACCCCGCTCTGAAGCAGGTGAGTCCTTGTCTGGAAGCCAGAGCTATGACCTGGAGGCCTGGGAGCTGGACTGGGGCCTTGCCCTCCAGGAGAGGTGCCTGTTCCCTGGGAGAGAAGTTGTCCTTAGCAGGCAAATTGTTCTGGCATTCAGTCCCACACTCAGGGAGCATCTGCCTGATTGTTAACTGCGTCTAAATGGCATTTAATGGTGGTGTTTGGTGGTGAAAATACTAATTTGCAGTTTCTTTAGATTTTGTAGCTTTCATGCTCAGTGTGCCGGCTGACAAGTACTTCTTGTCTTTAAGGACTTTTCTGAAAGCCACATTGAGATACAAAAGAGGCGTTTGGAAGAAATATTCTAGCTAAATTAAGGAGAGAAGGAAGTTTGAAATCAAGTTTTGCGTGGCGGGGGGGCGGGGGCGGCGGTTGGCTGCTTTTTTTAATGCTCTGCTTTCCCATCCCTGTAGATCTAAAGCTCCCTGTTGGCAGTTTTTTGTATCTTTGAAAGTCATTTGTAACTCACTAATGACCACATCTTCTCAAGGTCTTTACGTAGTGGGAGGCCACACTGCCCTCAGGAAACGACCTGTCCTGTGGGGACTAGGATTCGTGAGGCCACAGCTGCTGCCCTTTGGTCACTCTAGGTCACCCTGGGCCGGTCTGTGGATGGTGCTGACCTTGATTTCAACCCCGTTTGTGTAGGTCATAAAACCCCGGCGTAAGTTGGCGTTCCGCTCAGGAGAGGCCCGCGACTGGAGTAACGGGGCTGTGCTACAGGTCAGAACTGCAGTGCTGGGAGTCCCCTGCACCGTGCCACCAACCAGCCCTCACGCCCCAGACCGTGACCACGTCAGCTGCCTGCGTCTGTCTGTTTCTCTCTCCCTCTTTCCTTCCCCTGTCCCCTCGGTGTAACCTGGTCTCCTGATTTTGGACTTTAGGGACCCTGTGTGGGTGGGAAGAGGTCGGCCACAGCAAGGAAAGGCTGCACTGAGCGTCTCACCCTCTGCCCTTTCCTTCCCCACATGAGCCATTGCATCCTTTCTCCACTGTAGGCCTCCAGCCAGCTGTCCCGGGGCTCGGCCACAGCACCCCGAGGTGTCCTGCACACGTTCAGCCAGTCGCCCAAACTGCAGAATGCAGCCTCAGCCACAGCCTTGGTCAGCAGGACTGGCAGACATTCCGAGAGAGCCGTTAGTTCTGGCAAGGGCAACGCCACCTCCAACTGGAAGAAGGCACCCCTGAGTACAGGTGGGTAGCCCCTGAGGGGCTCTAAGTAGGGAGCTTGCCGTGGATGGGTCCATTCCTTTCTTAGTTTTAACAACGATGTGCACATGCACAAGGTGAAGGGAAATGGCACAAAGGGTCCTGAACTTCCCAGATCTGTCCCCTGAGAGCACCTACCTCCAACTCTTCAGCTAAATCTCTTTTGTTCACCAAATAGGATGCCCTGAACAAGTGGCAGCCCTGGGTAGGTACTAATGCCCCCACTGTCTCCACACTCTGTACCTAAACTCTCAGCCCTTGACACCAAATGTGGGCCAGACCCAGTGCAGGCCATCCAGTGGACTGCCATCCAGTGGACTGCTGTCAGCGCTCATCCTGCGCTCCTTCCTGCCATAGGGAACACCTGCTTTCACTGCTAGCTTGTGCCTTTCTTGCTGTACTATTTCTTGTTCACCCAGACAGTGTGCTTTATTCCTGATCTGTAGGCCACTCTCTTCCTACCTTCTTCTGGCTTGGACAGGTCAGGGGGTGCAAAGCACAAAATAAAACAAGAATGCAGAGTGGGGAAGAGGGGGACTCTGGGGCAGGGGCTGGGATTTTAACTGGGGTGAGCGGCAAAGGCCTCTGAGGAGACAACATTTGAGCAGGGGCCCAGGGAATGTGGAGATGCTCAAGTAGGTGTTTTTTAATCTCCCACAGCCCCACCATCCTGGGTTATCCTGTTCTTATTTTTTAATTTCTTATTTATGTGCTAGCATTAGAAGAAAATTCAGTATTTCTTGTGTCTGTCAAAAAAGAGAAAGTGAAATGTAGGCACAAAAGGCTGAGTGAAGGAGATGGGTGAGAGCACTCGTTTGTAGGAGTGAGCACCCCTGCAGGAAGAAGAAGCTGCATTACAGCGAGACCCTAGTCAGACCTGGGAAAGGGCTATTTGTGCAACTGAAACACAGGAACCCACTGTACATGCAGCTGACCATGGGGTAGAGAGATGCTCGAGTCTCAGAGTCTCCCACAGGAGGGGAGCTTAGGAGAAGACTGACATTGATCATCTGCAAAAGAATTCGGGCCACTTGGAAAGCCGGGAGCATTTAAAAACACACCAGGCAAAGATACTTTTGCTCAGCACGTATAAGATACAACTGAAAACTCACAGGCTGGTTAGAAATTCCTTCTATGGTAAATCTGAAAGTGTATGAAATACGTGGAAAAGTCAAGTATGAGTATATGCATGTGTACACTGTGATAGCAACTATGTGAAAACCGTGTGCACTTAAGGGTAATGTTTGAATGGGAATATGAAGGAATAATTGCTGAAGTGTAAGTATCAAGGCTTAGAAACTACTCTCCCGGGAGAATCTGCCAGAGCTCCTGGTTACCCTGGGTTTCTAGGTGGTGGTTTGAGGGAAACGGGCGGGATCTAGTTGGCAGTGCTACTTCGAACCTGTAGGGAGGACTCCCTAGTGCATTTGACCTCAGAACATTTGTTCCACGAAGGGTATTAACCTCCACCAAAAATACCCTTGGGGTAATGTATTTCTCCTGGGAGGGCCGTGCTGCAGCTGGGGATCCAGAGCAATCCTTAACACCCGGCCAGCCAAAAACTAAAATGTGCTGGTGTGCGGGGGTCAATTTTTCCTTTTCCAAATATAAAAGTGATACTAGTTCATTGGGGAAATAAATATAGAGGATATAAAAAGGGAAGACAATGGCAGTGGCTGGTACTTTCTGCCTGCAGAGAACAGTAGCACTTATGGGCCCCCCCTAGTCATCTCTTCCTTCATGTGCCACATGTGTAAGTGAGTTTCCTACAAAGGGGTTATGCTGTGTTTGCCATTCAGTGTCCCTCTGAATTGTTTAGTGACTGTTACCATCTCATTTTTGATGGTTGCATGGTATTCCATCACACTGATTTCCCAGTTGCACAAGCCAGTTCAGTCATTTGTAGTTTGCATGGTTCTAAACAGCACTGTGGTGATGGTATCTGTTACTGGGGCAGAGGCTGGGAACATTCTTAAGGCGATTGAGTTATTTCTTAAATTCACTTTGCTCCAAGACTGAGAGGTTTGCTGCCCATGCTTGGTTGGCCCCGTGTTCTCCTGGGGAGCCTGCCTATGACTGGAGCAATCTCAGCCTGTTGCTCTGTTCTATTGCAGGTGGGGCCCTTGCATTTGTCAGCCCGAGCTTGGCGGTGCACAAGACCTCCTCGTCCGTGGACCGCCAGCGGGAGTACCTCCTGGACATGATCCCACCACGCTCCATCCCCCAGTCGGCCACGTGGAAATAGTGCGAGCCGGCCCAGTGGAGAACAGGCTCCCTCCTCCCTCCCACCTGGCCCGCCACCCTCTGCTCGATGGGGAAGGCACCCTGCTCCCCAAGAGAGCGAACAAGCGTCTGCCACACTGTGGCAGCAAGAGCTCTGTTCTTGGCTGCAAAAGTCTTGTTGTGGCTGGAGGGCTGCTTCACAGGTGGACGAGGATTATCATTACTGGGGGACCTTTCCCGTGGGCTTCCCTCCTTTCTTTGCCTTTAGTTTGCCCAACACCAGCAGAAAATCGGACCTCGGGGGCTGGTTCTGCTCCTGCCCTCCCCTTCAGCCCCCTCAGGGCACACGGGCGGCCTGGACACTGTGACACACTCGGGCAAGACCGGAGCCCGGGGCTTCTGAAGTTGAGTGGACCGTTCTGTTTTGTTTTTGCTTTTTCCCGTCTTAGCCTCCCAATCTTTGCCTTCCTTCACGGCAATCTCTAGGTTGACAAATTTTTTTTTTTAATCACCTCATGATGATGGAGTTGAAAGTAAACCATGCAGACCCAGGGGTTCCTGCCGAGCACAGCTCCCACGCCCCAGAGGATGGGCCGCTGACTGACCAGCCCTTGTTCGCTCCAGCAGAAGGCCTGTGCTGCTGCTCGTCCCGGAGACCCCCCAACCTCCCATACTTAGCAAAAGAACAAACTGCAACCCAGACCCAGCCAGAGAGCCTGGGATGCTGGAAGCCACGCTGCTGCCCTTGGAGAAGGGAGGAGAGAAACGGCAGCAACATACAGAGCCTGAGCGGGAAGTTGGAGGGGTGGGCTATTGTGTGTTTTTGTTGTTGTGGTTTATTTTATTAAATTTTTTCCTTTTCTTTTCCTTCTTATTTTGATGGACAACATCCCAAGCTGCCCTAGCCTGTGCTCCCAGCAGGTGTGTCAGGTGGGGAGGTGCCCCTGCCCCCCCTCCCGCCAGACTTCAGGGTTTTCATTTGGGTCTAGTTTAGAACCTTCCCTTAAAGGAGGGCCATGCTGCCAGCGATCGCCTTCAGGTTTTCTTTTTAACCCTCTTTAGAGTCCACAGAGATGTCTTACAAAGGATCAGGTCTGCTCTTAGTTGTGTTCCATTTTGGTTTCTCCCACTCCTTAAAAATCATTTCCATGAGGAAAGGCAGAAGGTGTCATGTGCATGCTGCACATGAGACCAGCTCCATGCACGTGTGAGGGCGTCCCATGTGTGTGCACATGCGTGTACTGATATGGAGACAGGTACACCACTCCCCACTTCAGCCCCTGCCCTGGTTTTTCTGTCCATGCCGTTAGGGACTTAATTTAAAACCTTTATTTTGTAGGGCTGCCTTCTTCAAACACACTGCTTCAACATTCTAATAAAGGCTCATTTAACCCCCTCTTCATGTTGTGTGAATATCAGTGTTTAGAGACATTTTTTGACATGCAGTAGGAGACCTAGTTTTGCAAAACTTTCTACTTTTGTTCTGTAGAACCCTAAATTTCTCATTGATTTTTGTTTTAAGTAGATGGCTGAAGGAGGGAGGGCAGGGAAGGGTGGCTTTCATTACAAGATCCAGGGATTTGGGGAGGGAAGAGGGAAATTAACATTCAGGAGTGGGGGAAAGGGTGTGTTTATACACCAAAAGCTCAAGAATATGTAAGCGTTTCTATTCCTCGCATTTTTCTGTGTGCCTGGTAAATAAATACCTGTCTTATACTACCCTGAGCTGTTATCCCTCTCTGTTCAGTTATATGGGCCAATCTCTCCAAATCCTCCCAACAAGGAGCACTGGGCTGGCCACTCCTGGCAAACAGACCTCAGTTCTGTGCAGTAAAGGGATCAGGTGTCTGCGCCAAGGTCTCTTCTGCACTGGGGGCGGGGGGCGGGCAGGATTATTGCACCCCCGGCCAGGTTGACTGGGTCTGTGCTTCCTGGGCATATGTTGGTCCCCAGCGCCATCAGAACCTGGCTCATCACATGCTGAGGAACCACCTCTCATCTTACTCTCCTGGCCAGACCACCTTGGGTGGAGGACAGGACAGCTGGGCCCTGGCTTTGCCTTCTCCAGCTCAGCATTCCCAGGCTCATGCCCATCAAGGAAGACCTACTGGGATGGAAACATAGCTTTATTTTTTTAAAGGGGTTAAGAATGTAAAAGGCTTTAATCCTAAATTCAATTCTGTTTTAAAACTTCTACCTCCCTTTTTCTTCAGTTTCCCACATTGCAGTGTAACATAGTAAGTCCCAAATGGGTGGTTACGTGATTTAACGGTGTTACAGCAAAGTTGTCATTGCCGTATTTTGCTGTGTTAATGTGCACTTTTTTGCCATTGTTTTTAAGATTTTATTTTGAGAGGGGAAGGGGGATAAACATTGTGCAAGAGATACATCGATTGGTTGCCTTTCACACGCCCCCAAGTGGGGACCTGGCCAGCAACCCAGGATGTGCCCTGAATAGGAATCAACTGGCAACCTTTGAGTTGGCAGGCCTTGCACTCAGTCCATGGGTACACATTATACATAGGAGTGCATTATGCCCTGCAAAATATGATAAATATCTCGGTATGGAGTTTGAATATACTAGGAAAGGATGTTTATGGTAAAGGTGTTCTCCCAGCAGCAAAGTTCACCCCTCAAAACCTGCCACAGCGCTGGAGTCCTGGTCTCAGGAGCATCAGGGCTGAGAGGTCCTGGTTTCTAGGAGCAGTGAGAATATGGGAGCCCCCTAGGCCCAAATTGTAATGGTCTGTAGTTAACCTGTGACACAAACCCCTGACAATCGACTTGGGAACTTTAAAATGTCAGCTGCTCTGCAGACTGGAGTGGGGCTCACAAAACATACTCCTGGTTTTGATGAGGGATCATGTTTGAAGTGCCAAGTGTGTCAATGTGTGCACAGATATGTGCATGTCCGCTTGGAGTCACCCATGGCTCGAGCCATCTGCTCCTGTATAGTCCCCAGTGTCCTGACATGGGGACTCACTTTTTTTTTTTTTTTAAGAGAAATACCAATTTGTTGTTCCCCCTAATACACGCACTCATTAGTTTTTGCTTGTATGTACACTGAGATAAAACCCACGACCTTGGCGTATTGGGACAATGCTCTAACCAACTGAGCTTCCTGGCCAGGACATGGACCCACTTCTTTGACAAAGCTGAGAATGGCCCTTCTCCAGGAGCCTCTTGTCCTGTCCTCCAAGACCTTGGAACAAAAAGTTCACCCCAGTGCAGAAGGAATAAAAGAGGCAACAGAGAACAGCCTTGTCATGTTTCCCACTTGTCACTCCTATTGGCAGGGAGGCAAGGGGAGGAATTTTTGAACTCCAGTGGTCTTTTTTTTTTTTAATCCTTGCCCAAGGATACAATTATTGATTTGAGAGAGACAGAAACATTAATCAGTTGCTTTCCGTATGCAAACCTGCAAACTCAGTAAATGGGACGATGCTCCAACCAAATGAGCCACACCAGCGAGGAATTTTCTGTGTAAGTAAATGTAACGATTCTCATCACAAGGGTGTACATAATGGAAATGATGGTCTTTGATGCTCCACCATAGGATTTTTTCTTAAATTGAGTTACGCTGCACATGACATTTGCCTAAAGAACTTGGGCTGAGCTTTTTTTTTACATGACAGCTAGAGTTTTATAATCCTTAAAGTATTATAAACAGGTACACTAGTGCAAGGATTTTGGGAAGTGGATTTGGGCTGGGGTCCCTAGTATTTGTTCTATATCTCCGATAATGCAAAACCAAAAAGTTGACCACCCCACCAAAATAGAAGTTCCAATAAATAAGAAGAGGCTGGAGTCCATGGCTATAATTGGTGTCACAAGGAAGTTTTAGATCTGAAGGACAAGAAATAGATGATGTGTTGGCTGTATTTTTCTTTCGGCCTCTCAGCCCTGGTTTTCCTGCATTATTCAGTCCAGCAATGGGGCAGGTTGGAAACTTGGGTAACCCTTTGCTAAGGGGGAAGTAAAGGATAAGACGTGCTTCTTGGGGTTCTTTTGGACTTTACTTCCTGTGGACAGAGAGTCCCCCCTAACTGGGTGCTGTGGCCTCACCTCTGGCCCTCAATCTCCACCAGAACCAGGGATGGATGGCCTGAGGGAGTGTGGTGAGACTCCGACCGGGTTTTCCCCATTGGGCTGGCTCTTAGCCCCTTCTAGGCTCCTCCCTGGAGCAGTAGGTTTTTCTGGATTGCTTTTCAGCATTGGCTCCCCACTGGGTGTCTTTGCTGTAGGACACAGTATTACAGATGCAGGTTTTAAGTACAGAGGGAGCCACCCAACCAGGCCCTGAAATGAACAATTCCCTGTTGAAATTTGTTTTCAGAGGTTGACACTTCAAAGTTTTATTCATGAGACCTGTGTTCACTTTGGTCATCTGAGTCCACTGTTTCCCTAAGTGCTTTTACTTTTTTTTGCTGGTTCCTGTTTTGGTTGTTGAGGCATCTCTGCCTCTGGCAGTGAGTCCGAACTTCCTTCCCCAACAGCCAGCTTGCCTTCACCTGGGCAGACACAGAGCTGATGACGGAAATTCAACCTCATCCAGTCTACCTGTGACACATTCGTGCCCTCCGTTCTCTTAACACTGGCTGCAAGAAGCAGGCTTATGGGGTGCTTTCTCAGGGGCTTTGCATTCTGCCCTTAAGCCTTTGCTGGATGAGCCACAGGCTCCTCAGAAGACCCGGGAATGAGTCTCAGTTTCTCCAGCTAACAAATGGGACACTCACCCCTGGTTCCCTGAGACTTTGTCCTTTCTAAACCAAGCCATGGCCATGGGGTAGGAGGTGATCTCGGCCCATTGCTCATGCAGATTCATTAGGGAAGGACAGAAATAGGCACGTGCTACATCCCGGGCATTGGATCAAACCTGTGACAAGGGCAAAGAGGTACAGAATGGAGCGGCAGCCCTAGTGGGTGTGGCTCGGTTGGGCGTCATCCCACAAAGCAGGTTGCTGGTTTGATTCCCCGTTAGGACACATGCCTGGGTTGTGGGTAGAGACCCTGGTCAGGGCAGGTACGAGAGGCAACTAACTGATAGATGTTTCTCTCTCTCCCCAAAATCAATACACATCAAGTGAGGATTAAGAAAAAAAGGATGGAATGACAGAGAGGAGGTAAGCTTGTAGAGCAAGTCTTGAATGAAAATGGGAAACGTATTGCTGGGAGTGGGGACAGCCAGTGAAAAGTCTCAGAGGTGTGACAAAGCCTGGCAGGTGGAGGATGAGAAGGGCAGTGTGGCCGGATGGTGGGGAATAGGGGTGAAGATGTGAGTTTTATTCTGAGTGCAGTGCCACAGCCCTTCCAACAACCTGAAGAAGGCTGGGGTCCTGCCCCCATTTTCCAGGTGCAGAGCCTGAGGTACGGTTCAGGTCAGGAGAGGCGCCTTTCTAGTGTAAATCAAAGGGTTGGGTTTTGTCTCAGGCCAGACTCTAACAAGCCAGGATTAAGAGGCAAGGCACTTCCCCTTTCTTAGCCTGTTTCTCATCTGCAAAATGAGCCCATTTGAAAGGAATGAGAGGAGAGCTGGTACTTAATCCCCAGGCACCTGAGCAATGGAGGATGCGTGAGCAAGGGTGGGGCATGGTCAAACCCACAAGATGACCAGCCTCCTTAAGAGACTGGTCGTGGACCTCAGGTGGAGCAGGTAGAATTAAGGCTTAGACATTTCCCTTACCAGTAATCTCATCGCAGCAAAATAACCACCACATTCTCCTAGGCCATGTGGGGTCCCCTCTTCAGACAATACACCTTTCCGTCTCCACCTCCTCTCCATTCCATCTTCCAGGCATTACTCAAACACACCAGCTCCATCCTGTTTGGGCACTCCCGAAACACGTCCTGCTGTTTCCAGTGCCTGATTCATTCTGAGTTCAGCTCGGGTATCTCCTTCAATCCCTCAAGTGTCACCCTCAACTGAGCATACGCGTGGGCTTGCCCGGTGGATTTACGCCACGCCCTTGACCCCCCTGACCCTTGCCCTAAGGAAGTGACCCTCGCTAAGGAGAGCTTCCAAAACCTCCCCACCTCACTTCAGCCATATCTGGGTTCAAATCCCAGCTGTGTTCTTGGGCACATGGCTTCAGCCATATCTGGGTTCAAATCCCAGCTGTGTTCTTGGGCACATGGCATCTGTGGGGGCCTTAATTTCCTGGTCTGTAAATGCTCAGTTGACATTCACGCCGTGCCTTCTGAAACAGTGGAAAGATGCTAGGCTCTTGCTCCCCAGCCCAGCATCTCTATTTCCAGGGCCACCACGACGCCGGGGACGACCTTGAAGCCCCTTCGACTTTTCCCAGGATGGGAAGCAGAGGGGTAATGGTCCAGGTTAGAATCCTCCCAACTCCCTTTTGAGAACTGGAGCAAGAACCCTTAACAAACCTTTCTGTAAAATGGAGCGCCCGTGCTTGCCTTCCGCGGGAGACAACCCCTCATCTGCTCCGTAAAAGGGGCCATCGCTAGAGCCAGATGCGAGATAGAGCGAGTTTATTGCAAGTTGCAACCAGGATGGGCCCCGGAGGGCACCCTCCCGCGACCGCCTGCGCTGCAAGCTGAGAAAGGACGCACTTCGCGTGCGTCCCCTCGCCGGCAGCTGTTCAGGGCAATCTGCTCCGTTCGCACAACCGTCGCTCATTCCCCGCAGAAGCAGTACTTCCGCATCCTCTGGTCCCGCCCCTTCCGGGGCCTTCTCGTGGGGAATCAAGGATGCGCATGCGCTCTCCTGCTCTCCAAAATCGTGGAGGAGGAACTAGATTCCAAACGGGGTCGATAACAGCCCCGCGGTCGAGGAACAGGGAAAAGGGGAAAGGACGCATGCGCATTGGCGCACGGCGGCTTCGCAGGACTCTGGAAACGCGCCTCCCGAGCGTACGCCGCGCTTGAGCTGTGCTTGGGGAGGCGGGAACGAACCCCGGCTTTTAGCCGGAGTCTCCAGCACGCAGCCAACCGTTGCGCGCTACCTGGCCCGCAGAGGGTCTGGCCGACGGGCTGAACTGCAGCAATTCCGTGATCAGGGCCTTGCAGCGCTCAGACAGTTCGAGGCCGTTGGGGTAGAGGACGCCGCGCTTCTGGCGCCGAGGCAGGCCAGCGATGTCTGAGTCGTCGAAGGGCATGCATCCGGTGACCATGACGTAGAGCACGACGCCTAGGCTCCATACGTCGTACTTCTTGGGGTCATAGGGGATGCCCAGGAGAACCTCCGGCGATGCGTAGGCTGCTGAGCCGCAGTAAGTGGTGCTCAGATCAGGGTAGCCGTGTGCCTGGCGGCCGAAGCCAAAGTCGGTGAGCTTGACGCGGCGCTCGTCCGGGCTCAACAATACGTTTTCGCACTTGAGGTCGCGGTGCACCAGGTGGTGGTCGTGCAGGTAGCGCACGGCACCGGCTATCTGTGCGAAGAGGTCGCGCGCCTGCCCCCCGGGGATGCGTCCGTTGCGCTGCACGGCCTGCAGTAGGTCGGTGGCGGCTGCCTCCATCACGATGTACAGCTTCCCGTTGCACACCTCGATGAACTCGAAGACGTGCACAATGTGCGGGTGCCGCACGCCTCGAAGGATGGACAGCTCGCGCGGCAGGAACTTGTTGACGAAGTCGGGCGGAGCGCGCCGCCGGTCCACTACCTTGATGGCCACCGTGCCCTTGTACTTCTTGGACGTGGCCACCTTCACCTTGGAGTAACTTCCTTCACCTATTGTGCGGCCCAGCTTATAGCCTAGCTCGCTTAGGAGTTTGTCGCCCGACATGGCGCCTGGGGCGCGCAGGCAGCAGGAGGCGGCTGCTGTCGGGGGGGCGGCCGGACTCCAATCTCGGGCCTAACCCATGGTGCTTGGCACCTGCACACCTGCACCCCCATGTGCCCACTCCTCGGCCCCCTCCTCCGCGGTGCCTTTTATTGCCCAGGTAACAATTTCTGCCTTGTGAAGTGACCGTGGGCGTCACCCTACCTCAGAGTGGATGCCCCGCGGGCGTCACCCCGCCTAGGGAAGGAGGCCCCCCGAGGCCCTAGGGCTTTGTGACTCATAATAGCTCTGAATAGTCCAGTTCCCGGTGAGAGGCTACTAACAAGGAAGGGCTTCCGACCACTACCGAGGAGCGGAATCCGTGCCTGGGGTTGGGGTGGCTTCTAGGGAGTCCAAATCTGAGCAGTAGCCGCCCCCACCCAATTTCTTGTACCCAGTCCGCACAAACCCGGAGGGGGAGAAAACGAGTAAGGGGGCTTAGCTCGGCTACCCAGCCACCTCGGGAGTTTGATTGCCCTGCACATCGCCCCAGAGGGAAGGTGAATGGGAAGGTCCTTTGATGCAACGACCCGGGTGACCCGACAGGCTCCAGGTGTTCACACGGACTGAGCCACGCCCTATCTGGGAAAAGGAGAAAGAAGGATTCTTTGGCTGCAGTCGGGCGTCGCAGCCTGAGTTCTCCAGCGCAATTGTCGCTACACCAGTGCCCTGGGTTCCCTGACCCAATTAGAGACCTGTGCAGTAGCTTCCGCCACATTCACTGTGGCGGCGGCTGTCCGTACATCACTTCCGCCCACGGCCGGAAGTGTAAAAGCCCTGCGAACATGGCGGCCTCGAAGGTGAAGCAGGACATGCCCCCGCCCGGGGGCTACGGTCCCATCGACTACAAACGGAACCTTCCGCGTCGGGGATTATCTGGTTAGTGTCCGTGTGCGCCAAATGTCAGGATCTGGGACTTTTGGGTGCCGCAGCGGGGACGGGACGCTGGGGCGACTAACAGGCCTCCGTCTACCTGCGGTGTGATGAGAAGCGGAGTTTGGGGATCCCGAATAGCGTCAGTGGTAACAAGGATAACTGCTGCAGTTACTAAATCTTTTAATTTCTGCTCGTAACAGCTCAGAAGTTGATCCTGTTCATTATTCCCATTTTACAGTAGGTTAAACTGAGATTAGTATAGTCTGCTCCTCTGGCCCTGTTCTGTGGTTCCATTTTACAGGTGGGAAAACGGAGGTCCGAGAGAGGCTGCGACCATCAGGACCACCCATAGCAAAGGGGCGGGGGGCAAAACCCGGAACACCGAAGGAATTTAAGAGCTGTTTCGTGTGGTGTTTCCTCGCTGGCGGCCCCCACCTGCAGGATATTCCAGGAACATGTATTCTTAAATTTTTCTAATGTTTCAAGTAACTTAAAAATTTGTTGCTGGGTTCGTCACAGAAAAATGTTAAGAGAGGAAGTAAAAGGCACCCACATAGTTCACTCCCAGGATTAACAAAGAAATACAAAGAAATTTAAAACATGTTGAGGGTGAATACAGTTGCTGTAAATCATCAAACTTTATATTTAAAATCTGCATATCATGCAAATTATGCCTTTTTAAAAAATCATGGACGTGGTGAAAAAGAAGTCATGATTCAGACAGTAGAAAAGTTAATGTTTAGTGAAAACACAAATTATCTTCCTCCCTTTCTTGGCTTTTTTTGTGTCCCAGAACAGAGGTTAGCGAACTTTTTTGTAAGATTTCATTTTTACTTATTTATAGAGACAGGAAGAAGAAAGAGTGGGAGAGAGAAACATTGATTGGTTGCCTCTCGTGTGCCCCAGACCCGCAACCCAAGCGTATACCCTGACTGGGAGTCAAACTGGCAACCTTTTGTTTTGCAGAACAACACCCAACAAAACTGAGCCACACCAGTCAGGGAGGCGAACTTTTTTTTATAAAGGACCAGCTAAATATTTTATGCTTTACTGGCCAAGTGGCCACTGCTGCTGCCTTTTTTATTTTTTTTTTTTACAACTGTGTACAGATCTAGAAGTGTTGTTACCCCAAGGGCCATACAAAAACAGGTCAAAGACTAGATTTACCACCACATGGGCACTCAACTCAGCCTGGTGCAGATTCAACAAATCTAATGTGCTCTGAGTCACTTCCTTTTTCTCCTCATGGTATAACACAACACCGAGACCAGTGTACCCCTCAGGTGTGCTGCATGACATCTGTATACACATAGGCACCTGTGTGACCTGCACCCAGACCAGGCTTCACTTTTTTTTTTTTTTTTTTGGTAAGTCACAAATGGACCCTTTATACTGGTTCTCTTCCTGTTCATATCATAGCTGTACCTCCCATGGGTTCTAAGTGCCACTGCTTGAGGCTGGGTCTCCTAATTGCATCCCTTTACACCCAGTTTCATTGTAGCACATACACACCCAACCCAGTATTTTCTTGGCTGCAGAGAGGTGAGAAAAACACCCCTCTGGTGGTGTGGTCTTTGTTTATGAACCTGCATTTGTTCATTAACTAGTTCAGTGTGCACATGGCTATGGGCTCTGTCTCAAAGAGTTCACTGTCACATCACGCCAGAATTCCCTGTTGTGGTTGGTGCGTGGTGGGGCCTGGGCTAACCAGGGCCTGCTTTAGCCAGGGTGGGCCTGAGGGACCTCTCTGAGGAGGAATTCCCTGGGTAGGGGAAACGGCAAGTGCAAAGACCCTGTGCTCTGTCCGCACCCCATCCCCATCCCCTGGCTTCCTGGCCCTCTTCCAGCCTTGCCTCTTTTAAGCCATGGTCCACAGCAGCCCCCTCCCCATCAGTCTTATACTCCCCTACTCTTGTCAAGGCACTTTGGCCCCAAGCTGGGCACCACCTGCCTTTATGTCCCCCTGGAAAACTCCCTGCCAGCATCCCAGAACATGCCAAGCTGGCTCAGGCTGCCTTTTACCCAAGCTGCTCCCAAAGTGACCGCTACCCCCACAGGTCCTCACCTCTCACACCCAGCTCTCCACTCCCTTCTGCGCCCACTGTGTGGCTGCTTTTTTTATTGTGTCTTTAACATTTTTATTGAGATACCATACATTTCACCCATTTTGTGTGTACAAATCACTGATTTTTATCACAATTGTGCAACCATCACTGTGGTGTAAGTTTACAATACTTTCATCACCTCCCCCAAAAACTCCGTACCCATTAGCGGTCACTTCCCATTCTCCCCCCACCCCCTGACAACCACTAATCTGCTTTCTGTCTCTATGGATTTGCCTTTTCTGGACATTTTATATAAATGGAATCATTCACAATGTGTTTTTTTGTGTGTCTGGTTCCTTTCAGCATGGTGTTTTTAATGTCAGTGTAGCATGCGTCACTGCTTCATTCCTTTTTATGGCTGAATAATAATGTATAGATGGACCACATTTAGTGTGTCCGTTTCCCACTTGATGGACATTTGAGGTTTTCCTATGTTTCCCCTGTTGTGAACAGTTGTGCTGTGGATATGCAGGTACAAGTGTCTATGTGGCATATGTTTCATTTCTCTTAAGTGAAATTTCACCTAAGAATATAACTGCTGGATCTAGGTAACTCCACATTTAACATATTCAGGAACTGCCAGGCTGGTTTCCAAATTGGCTATACCATTTTACATTCTCACCTACAGCATATGGGAGTTAAATTTCTTCACATCTAGGCAACACCAATTATTTTTTATTTTTATTTTTTTTTAGTCTCACCATCCTAGTGGGTATGAAATGGTATCTCATTGTGGTTTTAATTTATTTTCTTCCCTGGCTGGTGTGGCTCAGTGGATTGAGTGCTGGCCTGTGAATCAAAGGGTCACCGGTTCAATTCTTAGTCAGAGCACATGCCTGGGTTGCGAGCTGGGTCCCCAGCAGGGGGCATGTGAGAGGCAACCACACATTGATATTTCTCTTCCTCTCTCTCCTTTCCTTCCCTTCTCTCTAAGAATGAGTATATTAAATCTTTTTAAAAGTCTGCATTTCCTTGGTGACTAATACTGTTGAGCATCTTGTGTTTATTGGCCATTTGTAGATTCTTTTGAGAACTGTCTGTTCAAATCAATTTACACATTTTTTTAATTGGGTGGTTCATCTTGTTATTTAGTTTTAGTAGTTCTTTATATATTTCAGATACCATTCCCTTGTCAGATATATGATATGCAAATACCTTCTCCCATTCTGTCAGTTGTCTTTTCAGATGCTTGATTGTATCATTTACAGCACAAAAGTTTTTTTTACTTTTTTTTTTTTTTTAAAGATTTTACTTATTTGTTTTCAGAGAGAAGGGAAGGGAGAGAGAAAGAAAGGGAGAGAAACATAGATGTGAGAACCATTGATTGGTTGCCTCTCATATGCACCCTGACCAGGGACTGAACCTGCAACCCAGGCATGTGCTCTGACCAAGAATTGAACCAGTGACCTCTTGCTTTGCAGAACGATGCCCAATCTATTGAGTCATTAATTTCAGTAAAGTACAATTCATCTATTTTCTCTGTTGTCTCCTGTGTTTCTTGTGTCATATCTAAGAAACTGTTGCCTCATCCAAGGTCACAGAGACTGGCTCCTAAGAGTTTTTTAGCTTTTACATTGAGAACTTTAATCCATTTTGAGCTAATTTTTGTGGATGGGAGTAGGAAGGAGCACACTATTCTTTTGCATGTGGCTATCTAGTTGTTCAATTTGCTGAAAAGACTATTCTTTCTCCCATTGAATTACCTTGGCACCCTTGTATAAATTCAATGGACCATAAATGTGAGGGTTTATTTCTGGACTCTCGGCTCTGTTCCATCGATGTGCACGTCTGTCCTTGTGCCAGTGCCACGCTGTCCTCTACACACAGCTGCGTGGTAACTTTTGAAATTGTGTGAGTCCTCTACTTTGTTCTTTTTCGGAATTGTTTTGGCTATTCTGGTCCCTTGCATATCCCTATGAATTTCACAATCTGCTTGTCAGTTTCTGTGAGGCTGTGGGGGGTGGGTGGAATTCTGAAGGGAACTGGGTTGACTCTGCCTCATTTTGGAGAGTGCTGCCACCTGAACAAAATGTTAAATTAAGTCCTAATCCATTAACACAAGATGCGTTTTCATTTATTTAGGTCTTCTTTACCCCTGGTCCACACACCC